ATACCCCACTTGCATGGGGTTACCATGGTTACTATTTTGACCCTTCGGGGGCCCTTAACTCTTGACCTGAGGGTCAAAAAAATCCAGAAAAATATTTTTTGGGTTCCCCTTGTCCAGGGGATTAATTTGATACCCCACTTGCCTTTAGTTGTGAGGGAATGATATTTAACCCTTCAAGGGCTCCTAGTTCACGACTCAAGGGTCATAAAAATTTATAAAAATATTTTTCTGGTTCCCCTGGTCCAGGGGATTAATTTGATACCCCATTTGCATGGGGTTATCAGGGAACGCTATTTGACCCTTCAGGGGCCCTTAATTCATGACCCAGGGGTCATAGAACGCTAAAAATAATTTTTCTATACTATTCCCATGCTAGACTTTTATTTTGGACCAGTTTGGAGGAAAAAATTTTTTTGACCGGTGACGTCGTGAAATTAATGCTACAAAGCGGTGTAATAAGTCTGCAGGGTTAGAACTTCATCCACAGTATCACTGCATAAGGTTCAACGTCTTTAAATGCAATTGCTTAAATAGAATCAACTCCATGAGTTTTGAGATAAATGCAGCTTTTGATATTTTAATCTAAATCTAATTTTTGGTACAATAAACAAGTCGATTTGAAAAAAAATTGCCACTTCGTTTGCCATTTTTCACTATAAATTTTATCAAAAACGAATTAGCTGTTTTTTTAATCGACTTGTTTGTAGTACCAACAATTAGGTTTAGATTACAATTTTAAAAGTAGCCTAAACGATCAGGAAGTAAACAGCGGCTTTTTAATTTTAGTCGTTCTAGACGTAGAGGGGGATTTCAGAAATCAAGGTCATTTCAATGTAGGTCGTGACCGAGTAAACTAGGTCAAAGGTCATAAAATATCATGTCTCAATGCACTCCGTTTCCGCTAGTTAATTATATCCGTTGGCAATGGTTATTTTTGTAAAAAAAATTTGTTAATCTAGGTTCACCCAGACTGGAAAATAAGTCAAAAGTTTGTAGCGGATTTAGTACAGAGTGTATTTTTATTGCACGTGCTGGACTCGTCTCATCCAATTTACATTCCTGTGGGACATCCGGACGAAATTTCAGAAATATTTGATGAAATTTCATACTCAAAGGGTAAAATTCAAAGCTAAACAATCATTGAGCATACGATTACCTTAAAGACTTTTTTGATAAATTTTAAAATTTTCTGGTAACTACGAAAAACATTTAGAAAACCAAAAATGAGCTGTTCACAAATGATATGACAATTAAAAAATACATTTGTTATCAAATAATTCATGGTGCAAAGTTGGAAAATTTTGGAAAAATCAACGAAGAGCTCTTTACGATTTTTATTAATAATTCTAATTAGTTGCTATACTCGGAAAAATTGCAAAATGCAAAAAGAGTCTCAAATTCAAATGACCAAACTGTAGTGTAGTGCATAAATAAATATTTGCATATTTAACTGTTTGGACAATCATTCTAGGTGCGTCTATCATTCGAATGATGAACCATTTCCTCACAGAAGACACGCTTCGAACGGGCTTGACATCACCCCAACCATTAACCCAATCCTTCCCCAAACAAGATGGTGCATAAAGATATGTATATGAGAAAGGGACCAGTTTATACAAACATAAGTATGCTGCCTGAGACAGGCTATGAAGCCTGGTTACCATGGTTACTATGTTGACCCTTCAGGGACCCTTAACTCTTGACCTATAGGTCAAAAAAATTCAGGAAAATATTTTTATGCTTGCCCTTTGCCAGGGGATTAATTTGATACCCCACTTGCATGGGGTTACCATGGTTACTATTTTGACCCTTCGGGGGCCCTTAACTCTTGACCTGAGGGTCAAAAAAATCCAGAAAAATATTTTTTGGGTTCCCCTTGTCCAGGGGATTAATTTGATACCCCACTTGCCTTTAGTTGTGAGGGAATGATATTTAACCCTTCAAGGGCTCCTAGTTCACGACTCAAGGGTCATAAAAATTTATAAAAATATTTTTCTGGTTCCCCTGGTCCAGGGGATTAATTTGATACCCCATTTGCATGGGGTTATCAGGGAACGCTATTTGACCCTTCAGGGGCCCTTAATTCATGACCCAGGGGTCATAGAACGCTAAAAATAATTTTTCTATACTATTCCCATGCTAGACTTTTATTTTGGACCAGTTTGGAGGAAAAAATTTTTTTGACCGGTGACGTCGTGAAATTAATGCTACAAAGCGGTGTAATAAGTCTGCAGGGTTAGAACTTCATCCACAGTATCACTGCATAAGGTTCAACGTCTTTAAATGCAATTGCTTAAATAGAATCAACTCCATGAGTTTTGAGATAAATGCAGCTTTTGATATTTTAATCTAAATCTAATTTTTGGTACAATAAACAAGTCGATTTGAAAAAAAATTGCCACTTCGTTTGCCATTTTTCACTATAAATTTTATCAAAAACGAATTAGCTGTTTTTTTAATCGACTTGTTTGTAGTACCAACAATTAGGTTTAGATTACAATTTTAAAAGTAGCCTAAACGATCAGGAAGTAAACAGCGGCTTTTTAATTTTAGTCGTTCTAGACGTAGAGGGGGATTTCAGAAATCAAGGTCATTTCAATGTAGGTCGTGACCGAGTAAACTAGGTCAAAGGTCATAAAATATCATGTCTCAATGCACTCCGTTTCCGCTAGTTAATTATATCCGTTGGCAATGGTTATTTTTGTAAAAAAAATTTGTTAATCTAGGTTCACCCAGACTGGAAAATAAGTCAAAAGTTTGTAGCGGATTTAGTACAGAGTGTATTTTTATTGCACGTGCTGGACTCGTCTCATCCAATTTACATTCCTGTGGGACATCCGGACGAAATTTCAGAAATATTTGATGAAATTTCATACTCAAAGGGTAAAATTCAAAGCTAAACAATCATTGAGCATACGATTACCTTAAAGACTTTTTTGATAAATTTTAAAATTTTCTGGTAACTACGAAAAACATTTAGAAAACCAAAAATGAGCTGTTCACAAATGATATGACAATTAAAAAATACATTTGTTATCAAATAATTCATGGTGCAAAGTTGGAAAATTTTGGAAAAATCAACGAAGAGCTCTTTACGATTTTTATTAATAATTCTAATTAGTTGCTATACTCGGAAAAATTGCAAAATGCAAAAAGAGTCTCAAATTCAAATGACCAAACTGTAGTGTAGTGCATAAATAAATATTTGCATATTTAACTGTTTGGACAATCATTCTAGGTGCGTCTATCATTCGAATGATGAACCATTTCCTCACAGAAGACACGCTTCGAACGGGCTTGACATCACCCCAACCATTAACCCAATCCTTCCCCAAACAAGATGGTGCATAAAGATATGTATATGAGAAAGGGACCAGTTTATACAAACATAAGTATGCTGCCTGAGACAGGCTATGAAGCCTGGTTACCATGGTTACTATGTTGACCCTTCAGGGACCCTTAACTCTTGACCTATAGGTCAAAAAAATTCAGGAAAATATTTTTATGCTTGCCCTTTGCCAGGGGATTAATTTGATACCCCACTTGCATGGGGTTACCATGGTTACTATTTTGACCCTTCGGGGGCCCTTAACTCTTGACCTGAGGGTCAAAAAAATCCAGAAAAATATTTTTTGGGTTCCCCTTGTCCAGGGGATTAATTTGATACCCCACTTGCCTTTAGTTGTGAGGGAATGATATTTAACCCTTCAAGGGCTCCTAGTTCACGACTCAAGGGTCATAAAAATTTATAAAAATATTTTTCTGGTTCCCCTGGTCCAGGGGATTAATTTGATACCCCATTTGCATGGGGTTATCAGGGAACGCTATTTGACCCTTCAGGGGCCCTTAATTCATGACCCAGGGGTCATAGAACGCTAAAAATAATTTTTCTATACTATTCCCATGCTAGACTTTTATTTTGGACCAGTTTGGAGGAAAAAATTTTTTTGACCGGTGACGTCGTGAAATTAATGCTACAAAGCGGTGTAATAAGTCTGCAGGGTTAGAACTTCATCCACAGTATTTGTACTGTTGAACACCTTCTTGTGTTAACGGGGCGTAATAGTTTGCTCTGGCCGCTCTATCAGCCAATACAGTCTCTCGCTCAATATTTCTCCCGTATGTTACCCCATGCATTATTTTCTGCACAGGTTTTTGATCTTGTAATTCGAAAACCGAGATTAAATGTGCACTCAAAAATGTGAGACTTGATGTATTACAACTATTGATAGTTGCGCAACAAGGGAGCATGCCCTTTAAGGAATTGATATGCTACTTTTATTTATATTAATCAATTAATCTCGAGGAAAACAAAATTTTGATGGAAATTGATATTGGTCATTTAATATAAATAAAAGTAGCATATCAATTCCTTAAAGGGCATGCTCCCTTGTTGCGCAACTATCAATAGTTGTAATACATCAAGTCTCACATTTTTGAGTGCACATTTAATCTCGGTTTTCGAATTACAAGATAAACATTTTGCAATTTTTCCTGATTCGTCTCAACTCGTCATAGAGTATGTGTGGTGGGAAGCCACCACCACACATACTCTTCCCATTGGAAACTACTAAAAGCATAAACAACTCCAAAAAGTTTTTGCAGTTTTTTTTCAAAAAATTCAAAATTCCCACTGAAACTTGTGAACTTTTTACCCCACCGAGTTCATCAGTTTCGCCACTATGTGATTTATGAGGATTGGTTTAACATAAAATATAGTCAACTCTTAACATGTACCTCATGAAAATCTGAACGCCCATCACTAATTTATCCACTAATTTCAAAATACGATCTAATTGAACTGACTAATATATTAGTCAGTTCAATATATGCAACTTTATGTTGCTCTTTTTTGTGCTACATATAATGATAAAGAATTTTATAAAGTATTTTATTTTCAAATAATAACTTATTTCTTTTTTGGCACAAAGTCGCTAAATATTTTGACCTACCCGGTATGCACAAGATTGCGTATCGAATGCTCTTCGCACTGCGTTAATTCGATATACGTTCGATTCGATTCGATTCGATTTATCGTATTATAAGCGCATTCGTTTAGCATGCAAATAAAGAACCTGAAAACGAATACGTTCGTTGGCGTCATATCGAATGCGGATAGAATACGATATAGGAGTGTTTTGGATCCCGTGGACTTTCTCCTCACGATCGAATTCATATCATACACTGATTAACGCATCAAAATCGCACCTCATTTTTTCTCATTCATTCCGAATACGAATAGCATTTTTATAAAGAATTAGAGGGAAACTTGATCCACTCCATGCGGCTCGCTCTTTCATTCACTCATCTGCCTCCATCTTATCCACAATGGCAAGTGCAAAATTTTCAGTTGTGAATTTTTATAAAGAGAAAAAAGTAGCAACGGTTTTGACTTCTTGGCTGGATGCACGCTTGAAATACTGCGCTTGGCCTTCTGGACCCTGTGCTGCCGACAAATTAAAGACTTTTGCACCGCCTGAAAAAGCCTGGCCAAAGTATCCTTGTAAACATATAAAATTTGCAGGTAATTTAAACTAAATAAAATTTTTGTAGAAATTTTGTAAACATTCATTTAACGATTCAAAGTAATTAAATTTTAATAATTTAATTAAGAAATTCTTTGTTTTTTATAGACTCTTTAGAAGAAGCTAACCGCTACCGTGACAAGGCTCAATTTCAGTCGGAGGTCGACTCGTCAGCGCCCGAGAGCCCCCACTTTTCCAAGACAAAACCCCGTCGTAAGAAGATTCAAGTTAAAAAGCCAGCATCGTTTTCTGCCGACCAGGAATCGGACAGTCTCTCATCGAACGAGGAAGAAAACGTCCCTACGACCAACTTTTTAAATTTAGGTGGTGAGCATTATGCCATAATTTTATCAATTCTAAGTGCATTTTTTCAAGTATTAGTATGCATGTAATATAATAACACACTGTTAATTTTGCTTTCGATTAGAATCCGAGATTCCGTCAAATACAGATACTGCACCAGACGACGACAACGTGGAGATTAATGGCCAGGAGGGTGGATCGAGTGAGCGACAAATAGAAGTAGTTGATGATGTTTCGAATTATGTTGTCGTCCCCCTTCAAGAACTTGAAAACATAAAAACAGAGCTTAAAAGTAAACATGAGTGTTAAAATTGTGCCTCATCAAATTTGCAAATACCATTTGTAATTTCTCCTTTTACAGATTTACAATTGACAGTGGCGGAAAACCTCGTACAAATTAACGGGAATTTGGAGGAATTGCTGCGGCGGTCGAACCTCGTAGGTGGCATAGTTGAGGAGATAGCATGCGACCACCCAACTCTCCCTGTGACTACTATTGAGAATTTTGACAAGTTGTCAGAGTGGATAAAAACTCGAGAGAACAAAATAAAGTTGGTAAGCTGTTTGAACTTGCGGCACATGATATGTCACACGGAAAATTATTTGGTGATACGGGCTGAAAAATTTATTTAATATTTTTGAACGGTTAACTAGGTTGCGAAACTAAGGATTTTGGGCGGAGCAAACTCCGAGGAGATAAGCAAACGCGTTTTGGATTATCTGTTTGCTAAGAATATTGCCAAAATTGTAACTTTAACGGGGGTGGGAAAAGGGGTCTTGCGTGGTTTTCGTGATTCCGGGCTTATAGATTTGATCAATAGTAAGCAGGCAGTTACCTTCTATTTTATAAAAAACTAATGAGGATAATATAAATAATGTTACGGTCAGTAATAATGAAATAATTTATTAACTATTTAGGTAGTGTTCGGGCAACTAGTGGTGGTGAGCAATTTACAACTGCAAAGGCGGAAGCTGCAATTAAGAAATGGGTCAAAAATAAAAGCGACTCGAGGGCGGAAACAAGATGTCTGGGCGCGTCGCGAAGTCTCTCCGTTCCCAACAACGAAAACGACGAGAACAACTGAAGAGGTTGTTAGAAAAAATGCGAGGTGCCCCGAGCGCGAATAGTTTTAAAAGTACAAATACTAATACACGGAATATTAATTGTTATTCTCATACAGATTGTTTAGATAAAAATGTAAATCATTTAAATTCAGGTCTAGCTTCATCACAAACTAATATTAATATAGAAGACGAAAACGAATTGTATATCGATATGTCACAAGAAACAATTGTCCCTATTGGCCAGGAAATTAGGAGCTGGGTTTTAAAGCATAATGTAAACCACAGTTGTCTTAGAGATTTACTAAAAATTATACATGGTCATAACATTCCTTGCGATTTACCCCTTGATCCAAGGACTTTAATGGAAACAACTCGATTGGTTAATGTTCAACAAGCTAGTGGTGGGTCTTTTGTCTATTTTGGTATTATGAGTGGCGTAACAGATCGTTTTCTAGCTGGTCTTCGTCCATTGTCACAATTTAGCTCCCCAATACATATTAAGCTTCAGAACCAGGTACCTCATCCATTGCTTAGCGTAAGGATTGGAGTGGATGGGATACCTGTCTCCAAAAGCAATAACAAACAATTCTGGCCTGTTTTAGGAGTTCTTGATCAAAGCCAATGCCAAACTCCATTTGTTATTGCTTTGTATTATGGAAATTCTAAACCTACCGACCAACAGTTCCTTCAACCCTTTGTGCAAGAATGCAAAGAATTGGAAGAGAATTGTATTGTTGCTGGGAAGCCATTTTCTTTTCGAATTTCTGCCATTCTTGCTGATGCTCCAGCTCGCAGTTTTCTGAAAAATTGTAAAGCACATAATGCTTATTATGGGTGTGAACGGTGTAATGAAGAGGGTACGTGGAGTGGTAGGGTAATTTACCATGATTCAAATTGCAATCCCCGATCTGATTTGTCATTTGAAGAAATGATCGATGAGGATCATCATAATGGGGAAACAATACTAAAATGTATTTCAATTGGTTTAGTTAGTCAGGTACCTCTGGATTACATGCACCTGGTGTGCTTGGGCGTAACCCGAAAATTACTAAGGATGTGGGTAAAAGGAAAGCTACCACATAGATTACCAAGTAGGGACGTTTTATTAATATCCAAACGTCTACTTCGACTCAGACCATTCTTTCCTTCAAGCTTTCAAAGAAAGCCAAGGTCTCTTGTTGAAATTGATCACTTTAAAGCTACGGAGTTTAGAACTTTTCTGCTTTATACAGGAGTTGTTGCTTTAAAAGGGATAATAGATAGAAAGCAATATAAATGTTTTTTGTTATTTCACTGTGCCATTTTCATATTGTTATCTTTTAATGCTTCTGAGCCTGAGTGGAACAGTTTAGCAAAATCTTATCTTTGTAAATTTGTTGAAAATTGTTGTGCACTTTATGGACGCGAGTTCCTAATATACAATGTGCACAATCTCTTACACATAAATATCGATGCAGTAAATTACGGGAATCTTGATAGCATAAGTACTTTCCCCTTTGAAAACTTCATGCAGAAAATCAAACACATGTTGCATTCGCATAATTTCAAACTGCAACAGGTTGCAAAAAGAGTTTTGGAAATGCAAAGTTTGGAAAGGGAAGATAAAGAACCTGACAAAAATAATTCACTATGGTTTGAACACGCGTGTAAAATAGGTGACAATTGCTTCTTGCATAAATCAGGAGATATATTAGTTTTAACAAATTTGCTTACTAAATGCAAAAATGAGAATGTAAGATTTGAGGCACAAAAATATATAATTCGTAGTAAACTAGATGAGTATCCTATGGATAGTTCTTTGTTAGGAATTTTTGTGGTAGAGAAGCTTTCTGATAAGTTTACAATTGTTATTAATGCAAGCGATATTGTATGTACATATTTTCGAATGTATTTATCTGACAAAGTTGTTTGTATTCCACTTTTGCATACAATAAAATAAAAAGAATAAATATAAAATTTGAGTACTTATGTCCGAATGAAAACCGCATTAGCAACACAGTCAACAAACAGTATGAGAAACGCATGCATTTTCCCATGTACTAAACGAATTCGATGTCTCGCATTCGACCTGCCACCGTTCCTAGCATGCGACTCAGATTCGTTTCTTGCATGCGGACCGTAAGTTCCGAGGCGACAAACACGCAAGCGAATCGAACTCGGCCGTCGAATTGATATCGCGTTCGATACGTATTCTCTGTGCACACCGGGTATGTTCCGACCAATAATAATTAATTTTTATCCATTTTTACGATTGTATGATTATCAATATTATGTAACCATTCATGATGTGGAAAGGCTGTTGGCTATGATGCAATAAATCATATTATTATTATTATTAAAGACATTGAACAAGCGTTACGTGAGACTAAGAAAAACTCTATGATGAAGATATGCTACCTTAATAAATAGATCTGCATTGCGTAACTAGTTCCTTACATGATTTACTCCAATGTACTCGACATAACGGCCAAACCCCTCGTTCAACCACAAGTCACTCCACCACTTCATCGTCACCAGGTTTCCATACCACGAATGGGCTAATTCGTGCGCGATCACTGGAAGTACATTAATCCTCACAATGGAACCTTTTTTCAAGCTACACCTTGATTTTATAGCGAGTTAAGTCAAAAAATCAAGTAAAAAATTAGGAGTCACATGACACTTATCTATCCTTTGAATGAAATTATTGGCGGCAAAGTTAAATTTTTCTCGCATTTCCTCGGAGGTGGACGTGGGAAATTTGCCGCCAATATTTTTCTTCAATAGGGGCCTTTCAACGGAAAGATAAGAGTCATGTGACTTTAATTTTTAGTTTGATTTTTTAATATAACTGGCTATAAAATCCTGGTGTAGCTTGAAAAAATGTTCCATTTTGAGTGTAAAGCAATAATATTCACACTTTATAATGAGCTGAGCGTATTACCAGTTCTAACACCAGTTCTAAATTTAGAAGAAGTGTTGTTTTTAACACGTACGAAAGACATGCAAGACGTGTTAACTTACAATGTTAATCCAAATGGATTATTTTTTGAAAAATTAAAAATTTGAAAGAGTTTATAATTGTAATGAATTTCAAAAACTGGCAAGAAAATTTTGAAAATCAAATTTCGAGACAATTGGATTTTTCAAAAGTCATGTAACTCATTCTTAAGAGACATGTTTTCGAATTTTTGAATTCGGGCTAAAATTCAAAAATTTACAAAATTTTTAAACACCTAGGTTTTGGCTGAAAAATGTTTTAAAATTCGCGCCCCGCGCTCAAATTAACGCATTAGGAAAAATGAAAAAATACGGGTACGCTTATTTTTTGTGGTGAACAAAACAAAATTGGTCCTAACCAGATCTGAGTTGTACACGTAAAAGACTTGCATTGTAAGTGCTTTATGTTGTAAGGGAGAGAATATTATTTTATATTTGTTGTAAAGTAGTTTTGGGGCAAATTGAGTTGCCATGGGAATGCTCTTGGCTCGTAGCATAAAACTGCGAGCTCGAGCAAAAATCAGTTCAGTTCGTCGTTGGATTCGGTCGAGAGAAGACTGCAAGATTCGTGCTGCTGCCGTGTTGGAGAAGAAGTTCCAGCGACAACAGCGGCAGAAATAATTAGGAAGAAAAGGTCAAAAGGGTATGTTTTAGGGCACCGCAAAAGGTCATCCTATGCGGGTAATGTGCTGATAGAGTCATCTCTCCAGCACCAAAAGGTTTCTTGTTTGGTCACGAGAAGTGACAATTTATGTATTTGGTCAAGTTAGTTATTTTTCTCTCCTCCCTCCAAGCCACGTTATTAAATTGAGTCTAGTGGGAATAAACATTTGGGGCTTGTCAATTGTAAATCTGTCTTGGTGTCATTTTTATAGTGTCATTCTCAGCATAATATAGCAGTAGAACCCGGGAATTGCATTGGATATGCAAATTGTGTCGAAATTAAGGTCGGGAAGGCATAATTCGTCACAATGTATTCTCCGTTGCAAATATCAAGGCTGTTGGCTGCATGATTTTTATGCAGAACCATATTTTTTCAGGCCATTTCAAATGAGGTCCATTGACCGTGGCCGCGGAAGCGTGGGACAATGTCCCTCGGATATTTGATGTCCCCACCATCTTATACAAACCCCGTGCTTTCTGCACAGTCCCGAATATGTACACTCTTAGAAAACGGGTATTAAATCATTACTGACTGGAGTACATTATACGACTCTACCTGTACTGGTATTCAAGATCATTACCGCTTGGTAATGTTGCGATAATAAAAAATTTACCATTCAGCAACAAATCACTACCAATCTGGTAGGAAGTTATCACCGAATCAATACCAGCACGGAGTTTGTATGCGACTCTACCAGATTTTTAACAGTGTATGTACCAGTTGCGACATTTATTTTGGCACGATCTGAAGTAACTCTAGGATCGTAAAGCATTGCTGACTCTCGGTAAGTGATTAGCCCCCAGTTTTCCATAGCCCTAGAGTCGTTAAAATGAAACCAATATACACATTTATACTATTCTTGGTATTCAAATAGATTTTTAAGGTTCCATTGTATACGGTTTGGATTTTTATGTCTCAGCTTTCCCGTTTTATAGAAGTAGCGATTTTTAAACCTCATCATCAAATCCGTGCGTTTTTTTACGAAATTAAGATTTTATTAGTTCTAAAAATCAATAATTTGTAGCTTTACAAAGTTAGGAATTTTGAATTTTGATTTTTCTTCTTCCGTGAGAAAATATAAATAAAATAGATAAAAATTAAATATTTTCTCGTGGAAAAAAAATCAAAATTCTTACCAACTTTGCAAACCTCAAAATAATACATTTTTGAATACAATAAAAACTTGGTTTTTTAAAAACCCAACGGAAATTAACACGTTTCAAAATTGCCGTTGAGACGCAAAATCTCAAATTCAGAACCCGCATACAAGGGAACCTTAAGTTCTCACTCTTGGTTGAAATCTGGCAATGCAATCATATCCTGACAAGAATTAACATATTTATTATTTATTATACATAAAAGTCGTACTAATGATATGTATGTTTAAAATAAATCTTGTTGGGAACGTGCATATATTACGTCATCAAGAAACGCCGATTTTTAGTCCACCCACCCACCCATCCTACTCATGTTAAGCTTAACACGAGAAAGATTGGGGCAACCCAGTCACCAGTTCAAAAATTTAGTCTTCATTCAAAACTCAGTCATCCCGATTTCTGACTGAAGATTTTCATTCACATTCAGTCATTTTCTCCCAAATTCATTTCACTTCATTTCTTACTTTACCCTGTGTTAAGGATAGGGTAAAAATGAAAGGAGTGAAATAAATAAATAAATAAAAATTGAAATAAATAATTCACGGTCATTCATCTAAAGTTCAGATTCTGGACTGACAGAATCCTTCAGTCATTTTCATTCAAATAATAGGGAATTCATTTTCATTCACAATCATAATCAATAAAATGAATGAAGGTGAACAGGTATGGATAGGGTAGGGGATACAAAACTGCCCATCTTTTTCATAACGTATTACATGGACGTTCCCTTAGTTCTGTTGCTCACCAGTTTTTGCAGAGGAAACTCAATATCGAAATATGCTTCGTAAAATGCTAGAATTCTGGGCCCTATATCCCTCGCATATTCGGCCTGCTTAATTGCCTCTTTTCGAGCCCAGACACGAAATTCGGGTCTACTCAAGGATCCGTTTGCTACCCGATTTTCAAAATCAGACACAACAAATGCGACCAAATATGTGGACATTGGCACCTGCGTGAAATTAAGGTGGACATTCACCACGAGAAGTATTTATATTGAGGGTATTCATTTTGAGTTCGCATCGTCTCGTCAGCAAGGTTCGCAAAAAATAAAAAAAAACAAGTTGGCAAAAAAAATTGCCCTAAAAATTGATTTGCCAACTTTCTCCTACAAGGCTGGTATTTAGTTCGCAAATTTTTTTTTCACAAATATGGAAAAGTTTGTAACTGGAAAAGTCCTTAATTGGTTACCGAAATTTTGCCTTTTAAAATTGTTGAAATTTCTCATTTGGTAAATTTAAGACGCAAAACTTATGGAAAACTAATAGAAATCTATGAATCTTTTCCTTAGAAAAATTCAGGACATTTGAATCAAGTTTTCCAAATTTTTTCATTTGCGAAGTGTCTTCGCTTCGTTGCTTTGCAAAATTCACAATTTCGAAAAAGTTATGTTGAGATGCGAACATGCGAACTCGTAATGAATACCTTCATTCTCGCATCACAACATATGTAACTTTCTTGAAATTCCAAATTTTGTGAAATTAGCTAAATATTTAGTTCGTAAAATAGTTTTCATAAGTATGGAAAATCTAAGAAATAAATAAATCTCCAGTTTCCAAAGAAGTTTATAGCCTTTTGGACTTTTTGAAATTTCTTATTTTTAGACCAACTCGAAATGAATACCCTCTGTTAAAGTAACGAGACTTTCGTACGGAAATGTCGTAATGATCCCAGAGCCAGCCTTCCATCCCTTGCCTGACAATTAGTGACAATATTGTAGATTTATGTCCTTTCATGTCAGAATAGATAGAGACCACAGAGTTGGATATTTAAGTAGAGGGATTTACTTTTACAGAGTAGGTTAGCGTAAAGCTGGTAGTGGTCTCAACGGTCCGGTTCTTGGGCGGAACCGGTAAGGAACCGAGAACCGAAATTAAAGAACCGAACCAAACTTTTGCCAACTTAAACCGAAACCGAACCGGCAGTTTCGGGGCAACCGGTAATGTAATGATAAGATGGAATAGATGCAATAAAAACCATGCTAACTGACGTATTTTTGCTGAAATAGTGGGGCTCCTCAGTCACATCTCAAAAAATTCGCTTGATTCTCTTGGTTAAAAATTTCGCTGCATTAAGCGAACTAGCGAAGCAAGTCTGACTGAACTCTTTTCGCTTAACGTAGGATTAGGTGACTCATCGTCATAGGTCTAAAAATCTGAACATTTTTACGCATTTCTCCGTTCTGGGAATTTATTTTTAAATTCTATCAGATCCATTGGTAGACCAGGTCAGTACCAATTTATTAAAAATATGCACCCTAGATTCTGACAAGTTTTGACGGAGGAGACCCAAAAAGAGTGAACACCTTCAGAAAAATTGGGTCTCCTCCTTCAAAACTTGTCAGAATCTAGGGTGCATATTTTTAATAAATTGGTACTGACCTGGTCTACCAATGGAATAGAATTTAAAAATAAATTCCCAGAACGGAGAAATGCGTAAAAATGTTCAGATTTTTAGACCTATGACGATGAGTCACCTAATCCTACGTTAATAATTCGTCCAAAGATTTGCTACAGCAAAGAGAGACAAACAGACAAGGTGAGACTGTGCGCGAATTTTAAAATTCACAAGCAGCAGATGAGGAACAAAAAAGTAAGCGACACTAACTCTACTCTGGAGCCTCGCTTCCCCAGATTTTTGCTCGCTTAGAATGGCGAGCTCTGATTGGTTGTTCGAGTGACGGTGATGATGCACCTTCGCTAACACAAGCGAAATTTCTAACCAAGCGAAGCAAGCGAAATTTTTGAGATCTGTCTGAGGAGGCCCAGTGTTTGTCTCATATCGACGTTTACAAACAAACCCGCAAATTGAGTTAAGAAGTTCGGTCAGTTCTCAAAAACTTGGAACTGGAACCGAACCGGTAATAAAAGTTTCGGTTCGGTTCTCAGTACCAACCGGAACCTGCGGTTTCGGTTCGGTTCGGTCTGAACAGAGAAATATTGAGACCACTACCGGTAAGGAACCGAGAACCGAAATTAAAGAACCGAACCGAACTTTTTTAAAATTTAAACCGTCACCGAACCGGCAGTTCCGGGTCAACCGGTAATGTTATAATAAGATGGAATAAAAACAATGCTAACTGACGTATTTTTGCTGAAATAGTGCTTGACTCATTTCGACGTATATAAACAAACCTGCAAATTGAGTTTAAAAGTTCGGTCCACCCGATCCTCAAAAACTTGGAACCGAAACCGAACCGGTAATAAAATTTTCGGGTCGGTTCGGTTCTCCGTACAGAAAGGACCGCACAGAAACCGTCGGTTCGGTGAAAACCGAGAACTGTAGAAACCACTAAATTGAATGATTTTTACGCCAAAATAGAAATAAACAAGTGGTAAATAATGGGCGTACTCACGACAACTTCTTATTTCGCATCGCAACTCATTTAGCAAACTTGCGAAGATCAAAATATTTTTGTCGTGAGAGGATTCGCAAAATATGACTTCGCAAAACTCTCTTATCTCGCAAATCTACAGAAAAACACCCATTTTGGTATTGTTTCCATGGATTTCTTTCATTTCCCTTGCTAGCGATGATGAGGATGAGTTTACGAAGTAATTTTGCGAAATAAGAACATGCCCAATTGTTGGGTAAATTTGCGAAAAAAAATCCCATGGTTTTCCAGCAAAATTTTTGCGAAATCTCGCATATCTCGCAAAACTTCGCAAGTTATGTTGCTATGCTCAATTTGCGAGATATGCGAGATATGCGAAGTTTGACGTGAGTACGCTCAATATTCAGCTAATGTAATCCCGGATTCCAGCAAAATATAAATTATTTTCTAATTATTTCCATTCTTATGCACCTCTGTATAAACAGCGGTGCATAAGAAGGAGATTAAGGCCTGCATGCATGATAGAGGTGTGCGAGGGTATGATTTTTGAAAACCCTACCCTACCTGACCCTAGGTTACCCAAGATTCTAAATACCCTACCCTGCTCGACCCATTATCGTGCCCACCCTACCCATACCCTAGGGTTTGGGGCTCTTGAAATACCCTACCCTACGAAAAATTTACACTGCAAAAATAGATGTAATGTAAAAACTCCCCAGTTTCTACATTCGGCGCAGATGAAATATTTAATTAATGTAATGTTTGCTAAATTTAACTAATCACTTTCATCCGAAGAAAAGCTTAGAAGTTCTGTGATAGAACCGACAATAGTTAGCTTGCATTCTATCATAAGTTTCATATTATCAAAGTAATTATAAAATTTACCCATGTCGGAAAGTATTTAAGTTTCAAGTAGTCTGGATAACGTAGCAACTGCCACCAAGTGAGCAGCTACAAAAATATTTTATTTGGCAGCCGGTTGTAGACTTGTACAGTATAAGATCGGGACAAGATGAAATCCCGACGGTAGGATATGGAACCCCTATGAAAACCCTACCCGACCCTAGGTTTCTAAGATTCTAAATACCCTACCCTACCCGACCCTAGGTTTCTAAGATTCTAAATACCCTACCCTACCCGACCCATTATTGTGCCCCTACCCATACCCGGCCGGTAGTGTATGGACCCGACAAAATCCATACCCTCGCCTCTAATGCATGGCCATGGTGGTGGCTACCCTCCGTCTTCTATATGTTATAGTATTCTGATGGTCTATACCTGAATATCCAACCCTGTGCTATAAATAAACTATATAATTTCACTTACACTGGTTCCGTCCGATTGAGCTTCTTCATATTTGAAATGGAACTCATGTTAACCCTTCTTGCCAAACTAATTTCGAATTTTGCCTTCAATTGTGGCTCATCAAAGCAAGGAAACGCTCTTCTCGCGTCGATCGGTTCAAAGAAGGTCGTCCCCAAATATCTCGTTGCATTTGAGCCCACATCTTTATACGAGGATTTGTAAAATCCCCCCAAACTGTCGGCAATGAGGGAACTGAAGGGGATAAAAATCCGGTAAAGCTTCCCCACTTCGAGGGACTTTGGTATTGTCACGGTGTAAAAGTCCCGGGCAATGTCGTACTCATGGTTTTTCGGGGAAATGGATTGTAGCACTTACGTCACAGAGGGGGACAATTGTGCTTCGTGGATCTCATAAATCCTGACGCTGGTTTCGGTCACGGTGATGTTTTTGATGTGTACGGTGACCTTGTCGGTGGCTTGGAGGCAGTCAATATCAATCCACACCTGTGGAGGGAGGGCTTATTTTCTTTTAGAAATTTAAGGCTGCATTATAAATAATTTTGAGACAAATCGTCACCCGCGGAGGTGATATAGTTATATTGAGTGCTATATTTTTGGGTAAATGATTTAGGAGACGTTTTGTCACCAGGGGGAGATAAGTTAAAAAAACTCGTGTACCAAACACACGTGACGTCGTAATTAAAGAATTTAACATATTTATTGGACCATATGATTTTTTTTACATAAAAGTATTGAATTTTTTAAAATGAGGATGTCACTGGTGCATGAGTTTTTGACTTATCTCCCACTGGTGACAAAACGTCTCCTAAAAATAAAGCACTACCTATAGTTGATAGTACCTCCACGAGTGACGATTTGTCTAAAAATTGTTTAGAGTGTACTGTGGATGACGCCTTATTTGGTCCCTTTAAAATTTTTCGAAATAGCTGGTTGAAGGAGTTGGTCCCTTTAAAATTTTTCTAAATAGATGGTTTAAGGAGTTGGTCCCTTCAAAATTTTTCTAAATAGCTGGTTGAAGGAGTTGGTCCCTTTAAAATTTTTCGAAATAGCTGGTTGAAGGAGTTGGTCCCTTTAAAATTTTTCGAAATAGCTGGTTGAAGGAGTTGGTCCCTTTAAAATTTTTCGAAATAGCTGGTTTAAGGAGTTGGTCCCTTTAAAATTATTCGAAATAGCTGGTTTAAGGAGTTGGTCCCTTTAAAATTTTTCTAAATAGCTGGTTTAAGGAGTTGGTCCCTTTAAAATTATTCGAAATAGCTGGTTTAAGGAGTTGGTCCCTTTAAAATTTTTCGAAATAGCTGGTTTAAGGAGTTGGTCCTATTTAGAGTATTATTTTCTGTTTCGTTTTCTTGAAGTTTTACTTTCTTTTTGGTTTACTTTTCACCATACCAATTTATAGTAAAAAGTGAATATTAAAAAAATAACTTTATTTTCACTCGAAAAAAGTTGACTGGATGTCAACTTTGCAAAATAAAACAAACCCAAAAAAGGAAAGCTTAGATGAGACTAAGAAGTGCGATAAAAAGTATTTAATAAATTTCTTCTCCAGTGAAGGATATAGAATTTTAATGTTTACAGCATCAGCGCCCCATTTTAAACTGACTAAATCACATAAGCAACATGTTCATGTATTATATACATATTACTGGGGAAAGTAGTAGACTGTTTGGTAAGACGTGTGTATCATGTGTCAACTTTAAGTACAATTGCAAGCATTCAAAATTTTTTAGTGACAAGAACAATTAATAAATGATTTTAATATTTTTCGCTACATCATATTTGAAATTTGATAGTTATTGTATATTTGTATATATTTATATGATAGTGAATGAAATGGGGCGCTGATGCTGTAAATATTAAAATTCTATATCCTTCACGGAGAAGAAATTTATTAAATACTTTTTATCGCACTTCTTAGTCTCATCTAAGCTTTCCTTTTTTGGGTTTGTTTTATTGAATAGTTTTTAATCGCATTGATAGTAATTTATTAAGTAACGTCAGCTGCATATTGCGATGGTTTTGTTCGTCCGTCTGTCTGTGGGCAGGATGGTTATCCGGATCTCCAAAATAATCTCGGTTGAGTTCGATAATAGGGCTAATGGGACCGCTCCCCACAGCGCTAGACAGAGAAAAGTGGATAAGCCTCCTAAAGGAGACCTAGAAGGTTTGACTCCATAAGGAAGTATAAGCCACGTTAAGAGCCAATAGCAGACGACGGCGAGGTTTTCCAACTTTTTCACCATAACCTCTAAGTTTTTTCAACTTTTTAAACAATCACAAATATACATTTTCTTCGATTTTGGCGTCCAACATGTACAAATTACTGCATTTTTGACAAAGTTGAACTCCGAAAATTAAAAAAGACATAATTAATATTATTGAAATACAAAAAATTTTCTGATTGGCTGGCGCTGGGTGGGAGGGGTCGAAAACCACGCCGTCCTCTATTATTGGTCCTGGCTGTTCAACGTGGCTTATGCATTCTTAATACACTGCATCTTCTATATGAATGTATGTTCAATGAGCGCTAGAGGCTGTGGTCCAAAATTAAGCTTAACCTTAATTTTCATATTGGGTGTGATTTTAAAGGAAATTTCACGTCGAATTCAACGCCGTCAATATTCTTGGTCTTATGATCGCGAGGACGAGGTGAAAGATCAAAACTACATATGTTGGGAACGACAATTTTATATAATTATAGTTTCAACATATGTGACCGTTGACCTCCTCTACATTATTCCGGGGGTGTTGCATATCAAAACTGTTCATGTTCAGCGTTCAAAATCCGTTACGAATTATTAAGAATTATCGAACCGATGGACGGACGGACGGACATAACGATCTCATAAGTAAATAGGTTTCGCCCTTATATTATTCGTAATTATCACTTTTCTTAGTGGTGGGCCTTAAGTGGTGTTTATGCTTCACGTCATCGTCACGTCCTCCTTCAAATCCGATTTTTTGATTGGCTGAACTAAATTATCACTACGACAATTAAAAATTTTAACCAATCAAAAAATCGGATTTGGAGGAGGACGTGACGATGACGTGAAGCATAAACGCACCTTTAGCAACTAAACTCCGTGGTGGTGGGAGAGGTAATATTTTGACCACCATCAAAACTTTCTCAGTTTTAAACCGATTTTGGGTATTTTAATTTTATATTTTTCTAAAAAATATTTATCAACTTTTTTCCCATTTACATTTATCATATATGCCTTCATTTTTTTCTAATCTCCCAAAAACACATTTTTGATGGCGTTTTTGTTCCATATCTCAGAAACAGGTCAAAATTTTAGGCTCCCGTTCGGCAGTTCAATTCTAATTTCCCATAATTAACTCTGGGCACTAATTTCATTAAAATCTGATGGAAATTGACCTAGATCTGAAAAAATTAAGCTTTTCAAAACCGTAGTGATTGCTTACTTAGATGATTTTTTTTCTGCAGTAACTATAGCCTCATCTAAGAATGAAGCAAAACATAAACGAAACCAGAATTGCACTATAAATTAACGAAAAATAAAATAAAACGAAAATGTTGACATAACATTAATTTTTAACGAAATCAAAATTAAAGGAATTTACCATAAATTTATGTCTTAGTGTGTACACTCTAAATAAAGTTGAGTAAAATTTGCGACGACACAACTGATTGTGCAAAATTTACTCAACAAAGTAAAAATTTACTCAAGTTTGTGCGAAATTTCTACAACGTTGGATCAATTTTAACTTTGATTTGGTAAATTTTACACAACCAGTTGTGTCATCGCAAATTTTACTCAACCTTGAGTAAATTTTAATCAAATTTATTTAGCATGTAGTGAAAAATAAATTAAACAGAAATTAAAACTACATTAAGGGCCCGGGGGAAGTTGCTTAGAAATCACGTCAACTTTGACAATAAAATTCAGCAATGCGCAAGAGGGCACATTTTCCACCATTTCCACCAAAAATCCAATTTTGCTCGAATTTTTTTGATCCCAGATACTTGTGTGATCATATCCAATAGCAATCTAATCTGTTTTTAAATTTTTAAATTTTTAAAACTGTGCATGAATTAAATATTAGAAAAAATTCAAAATTTCAAAAGGGTTGAGATTGCTATTGGATATGATCACACAAGTATCTGGGATCACAAAAATGTAAATTTTATCAAAATTCGAGCAAAATTAGATTTATAGTGACAGTTGAAGTACATGAAAACAGGTCTTTTTCTTGATTTTTAGACCTTTAAAGGGGCGTGGCGGACGAAAATGGGGCCATAGAATCAAACCACTTCCGGGTTTTAGTAGACTCATAGGATACTCCAACACATGCAAAGGGCACCCAAATCTGAGGGTCATTCCTCCCAACAATGCAATGACGCCAGTGGTCTCGCTCGGATTTTGACGAAACCATGTCGCCTTAGGTAAATAATTAAACACGTGCTTCAGGATTCAGGATTTTCATAATGCTCAGCTTAAAGGAAGTTATTATGGAAAACGTGAGCGAGAATTTCCATTTTTTTTACCGTGACATTTTTCTCGCGAGGGAGAAAAATACAGATTCTCGCTTACGGATTCCATCATAATTTCGAATTAAACTTCAATGCGTGGGCATGATGTGGTTTTCTCCGATTTTAAAATAAATTTTGAAAATTTTGAAAAATTAAATTTGAATTAAAAATGAAAACGAATTTTCATTTGTCTCCCTTGCGAAAAAAACTTCACGGTGAAAATGAAAATTCTCGCCCACGACCTCTTCAACCATAACTTTGTTTAACGTGGCATTGTATCACGTGTTTTTTGTTTGAATTGTTGTGTCTCAACTTTCCCTTCCTCCATGTATTCAAATGGCGATTTTGAAAAATGTTCACCGCCTTTCGTTTTTAACAATATGAAGATATTAATGCACCTAAAAATCGGTAATTTTTAGGCTTACATAGTTAGGAGATAAAAATTTTGATTTTTTTCTTCAATGAGGAAATATTTAAATTTTATTGATTATTTTTCATCTATTTTATATTTATCTTCTTGTTGAAGAAAAAAATCAAAATTTTTATCTCCTAACTATGTAAGCCTAAAAATTACCGATTTTTAGGTGCATTAATATCTTCATATTGTTAAAAACGAAAGGCGGTGAACATTTTTCAAAATCGCCATTTGAATACATGGAGGAAGGGAAAGTTGAGACACAACAATTCAAACAAAAAACCCCGCATCAGCCAGCATGCTATTCCGCCTTAAGCTGAGCATTATGAAAAATCCTGAAACACGAGTTTAATTATTTTTCTAAGGCTACAAAATTATCGTGGTTTCATCAAAATCCGAGCGAGACCCCTGGCGTCATCGAATTGTAAGTACGATAGTAAATATGTATGAAAACAATATCCTACTCAAGGGAATTTTCTTTTCGAGAATTGTGGTCATACAGAGGTTAAGAAATTATACAATTTTCTAAACATACCTTTCCATCAATTGTGAAATTCTTGGCTTCCTCCACGTACGGAATCAAGTCCACTTTGTAATACAGTGGCTTCAAATGTGTGGGAAGTCGAACGTCTACTACCTTGACCGCTTTCGCTGGACCGATTTTCTTCGAAAGTGGGCCCCCATTCGCACAAGATGTCAAGTGAGAGGTGACCAGAACGGCGGTCACGACCACCCCCACGGCAAGAAGGACAAGTCCGAATCCTGCTGCCAAAGAAAGGCGACATTCTCCGCGGGGAAGTTTGGACTTGTTGCCCTTTGTCGGGTCGTCCATGGTGAGTTGTTCTGGCGGTTGAGTCATCCCGATGTTGGGTGAGCCCGATCTGAAACATACATGTTCACATTCATTCATTTAATGATGAATGAATAAATTATTCGTTCAATTTTCAAAAATTGAATGAATATTAAATGAATATTTTATTCTGGCTTTTTAACAAATGAATATTGAATGAATATCTATTAAATTCGTGTGAATGAATAATGAATGAGTATTTTTTCATCATTCGTTTTTTGCTCAATGCTTAATACATAGGGAAAGTTGAGAAATTCATCTAATGCTGTGAATTTTGAATAAAATGAATGAAGGAATGGTGAATAATGAAGGAATGGTGAATAATGAATAAATGCTGAATAATTAATGAATATTTTATTACAACTTATGAATGAGTGAATAAGGAATGAATATTTTTTGAACATGTATGACTGAAACAGAGAGAAAAGCACCTGATATATACTTATTTAGCCGAAGTAAGATCTTACTTTGGCGTGACACCTCATAAATTGCATAAATCTTAATATGCCCATTTTCGGCGACACGGGCTTTCCAGATGAATAAAACTTTGCAAACTAAATGGCAAAGGGATGAAGCGACACGATCATGGCGCGTTACAAAGAACTATGTCGATTTTTGAAATCCCCGCCCAAAACTATGAATAAAACGATCAAGACCAAAAAATCGACATTTTCGACTTTGGCGTCGTCTATACGGTCATGGCACGTTAAAATTATGTCGATTTTTGAAATCCCCAAACGAAACTATGCATAAAAGATCGAAACAAAAAATTCAACACGTTTGACCGTTTATCTTATCCCCGTGGCGCCGTGACCTTATGATCTACAACGCCCATCCTCTAATTCCGTACTTGAAAAATTAGAAACACGCTGGCGAAAAGCCGCATGTCGAAATTCCAAACCGTTCTAAAGTTGTCGTAGACAGACGGACAAGACATTTCCATAAAGGGATTTCGCTTCGCTTCATCCCTTCTTTAATAAAGCTTTTTGGCTCGATTTTTTATTTCAAATTTTATATTGAATTATTTTATTTTGAAAATACAATAAAATTTAAATTGCTCGAATTGGCAACGGAATAGGCGATGGACTCGTTACCCTCCTTGTCCGTTATATGCAAGTCCACCTGACTCTGCCGGTACGGTAATAACGGGCATTATCTTTTAGTAATGTTGAGGTAATAAAAAACTTACCACTCAGAAACAAACTAATACCGATCCGGTAATGAGTTACTGCCAAATCAGTCCCAGTACAGAGTGTATATCTGACTCTACTAGATTTTGAACAGTTCTCAGAAACCGTGTTGTATGACCCCAATTTTTACAAACATTTGCAACACAAACTTTTTTATTTGATGCAACTTTCCCAGCAAGTATTTAACTATTGTGAAATTGGGAATAAAAAATCCAGACTACATTTCGCCTTCATTTACATAATATTTATTTATATTTTATGACAACATCAATTTTTTCAAGGCATTGATTGTGAACATATGTATAATTTCAAGTATGAGTAATTAATTATTAACGAGCAGAACCAAGTGACGGAGTTATTTTTATTGTTTTCATAATTCTAAGCATCCGTTTTAAGGTGGTATTGCATGCAGGGTTTGAGTTTGAATTTTTGGCTCTCAACTTTTCGAAAAAAATTCTGACTGACGAAAAAATTCTAACTGAAAACCCGCAGAGCTTAAAGACGACAAAATTGCGTAAAGATTTATGTAAATGACTTAAAACCCGCATCCATTGGACCGTTAATGTAGGACTCGATGACTCATCGTCAAAATCAGCACATTTTTTGAGAATTTCTCTCCTCTGGGAATTTACTTTAAAATTCTGGACGACAAATTTGCAGTCAATGACTGGTATGAATAAAACCAGGGAAATCCTCCAAGGAAACGGGTAAAGGGAAAGGCATTTGCCTGAGGGAAAGTCTCTCAGGTCAAGGCTATTGCCCCGTTTCGTATGAATAAACTTTTGCCTTTCTCTCCAGTCAAATCCCCCTGGTTTCGGGCAATTCCCCTAACTTTAATTACATGTAATTAAAATAATACCATCGCAACGAAGACAAATGCATTTCCCAAAATTTCTCTGACCATGTTTTTGACCAAATTCTTCAAGAAATGTACCCCTAGTGACCCCCACTGGTTTGTGATGTTGGTTAAAAAAGCTGAAATTCGGCACAGGCACATCTCAGAATTGCAAAATTTTTTGAGCACCCTCCAAACTCACTCAGACTATCCGGAAAAACATTTTCAAATGCTAGTCAAAAATCAAATTTTTCTCGGAGTTTAAAAACGCTTGTACGATTTTAGTCCCAGTTGTTGTACACTTGTTTAATAATAGAGGACTTTTTTTTTGCTGTGGACCCCCTGAAACATTTGTATTCAAATTTTGATAAATTATAATATTAGCTAGTGAAGTACATCCAAACAATGCCAAAAATGGGTGCTAAAAAATCCTTATGTCAAGGGTACCTCTGAGGGACCCATTCTTTCTTTTACACATATCCCTTCATTGTGGGATAACCAAAAGTCGTATCAACATGGGGTTTGGATATTTTTTATCTAAATGCCATTGTCTAAAACGAAGTTCAGTAAGGAGCCGCTACGTAACTTTTTTGTCCCCAAGTTTGACCTCTATAAAAATTAAGTTTTACAGTTTATTAGCATGCCAATTTTAGCGAAATACATGTAAATTTAAAAGGTCAAACTTTGTCCATAGCAAAAAAAGTCCTCAATATCAAACTCATTTTTGAACTTTTATAGATCTTCGAAATTTTCCTAACCAGGAAAAAAAATTAAAATTCTAACGTCCTAACTTTGTATAGGCCTAAAAATCATCCAATTATTGTAAACACGGCGATAAACAGGTTTCAAAATCGCCTTTAAATGGAAGAAGGGGAAGTTGAGACACAAAAATTCAAACTCAAACCCCACATGCAATGGACCCTTAAATGGCGAATAAATGAGCGAAAGCAGAATTTAATCAGAATCTTGGAAAATTTTCAACATTTAGATGCAACTTGCGCGATACCGATAGCATGACCAGTTGGATAGCCCGAAATCTGAATTTAAAAAATATTTCAGAAAATATTTTCAGGTTTTTAATGAAAATAAAAATAAATTTTTTCGAGGTCGAAAGCAAATAAAAATCTGCATATGTTTGTCGATAAATCTTGTTTTGTATGTTTTAAGGCCCTAACATGACCTACTAGTGTCCAACATTCATAAAAAGTACAGCAGATGCTTAAAAACTAAGTTTTATTGCTAATTTTGTTAGTTGGGGGCAGCATAGTAGCTGATCGGTATTTTTGGGGAAGATTGCCTGAAGGAAAGGCTTTCACCTTGGTTTTATTCATACGAAAATCCCCGTCTCCAGGGAAAATCTTGAGGTTGAGGGAAAAGCTATTCCCTTTTTCCTTTCCCTCGGGGAAAAGCAAATGCCCAAATTTTTATTCATCTATATTGGGGCATTCTCCCCAATTTTTCCGGAAAAAGGATTTCCCTGGTTTTATTCATATCACCCAACATCCAAGGAATCACCAAGCCTGCCATCCGTCGTCTTGCTCGTCGTGGGGGTGTCAAGCGTATCTCTGGCCTTATCTACGAAGAGACCCGTGGAGTCCTCAAGGTCTTCCTTGAAAACGTCATCCGAGACGCTGTTACCTACACCGAGCACGCCAAGAGGAAGACGGTCACCGCCATGGACGTCGTCTATGCCCTCAAGCGACAAGGCCGCACCCTCTACGGATTCGGCGGTTAATCATTTCGTCCTCCCACCTTACCTGATCTCGTAAAACCCAACGGCCCTTTTAAGGGCCACCACATTTTCCAAAGAGCTCAATATGTGCGAAATAACATCCACATTCATTTGTCATATGTGTCGAATTATTCGATTTCAGATAATGATAAATTCAAATCAGTACAATTGGGCATTGCATTTGATTAAATTGGGGAGTTTTATTTTTGGGCGCTCTATTGTCATTTTGTGCAGGATTCTCGCCAGGCAAATCCCCTTGGTTTCGGGCAAATCCCCTGACTTCAAATGCGTGTAATTAAAATAATACCATCGCAACGAACACAAATGCATTTCAAAAATTTCTCTGACCATGATTTTGATCAAATTCTTAAAGAAATGTCCCCCAATGACCCCCACTGGTTTGTGATGTTCGCTAAAAAGGCTAAAATTCGGTATCGGCGCATCTCAGAATTGCAAAAATCAATGAAATTTCAGCGTTGTTTTGTTGTATATAAGTGTATTTAATTTAATCTATTTTTGATTTTTTGAACACCCTCCAAACTCACTCAGACTAACCTGGAAAAAACCACCTTCAAATGCTCGCCAAAAATCAAATTGTTCTCGGAATTTAAAAACTCTTTTACGATTATTGTCCCATACAGTTATTTTATAATATTCAAGATCAAACTCATTTTTGAATTTTTTATAGATTTTCAAAAATTTCCTAACCAGGAAAAATACTAAAATTCTAACCTCCTAACTTTGTATAAAGCTAAAAATTTTCGAATTTTGAAACCTCCCTTTTTGTAAAATATGCACGACGATGAATGGGTTTCAAAATCGCCATTTATATGGAGGAATGGAAAGTTGAGACACAAAAATTCAAACTCAAAACCCACATGCCATGGACCCTTAAACGGCGAATAAATGAGCGAAAGCAGAATTTAATTAGAATCTTGAAAAATTTTCAACATTTATATGCAACTTGCGCGATACCGGTAGCATGACCAGTTGGCCGAAATCTGAATTTAAAAATATTTCAGAAAATATTTTCAGGTTTTCAATGAAAATATAAAATACATTTTTTCGATGTCGATAGCAAATAAAAATCTATATTTTTGTCGATAAATCTGGTTTTGTGAGTTTCAAAGCCCTAACATGTCCAACTAGTGTCCAATATTCATAAAAAGTACAACAGATGCTTAAAAACTAAGTTTTATTGCTAATTTTGTTAGTTGGGGTCAGCATAGTAGCTGATCGGTATTTTTTGGGGAGATTGCCTGAAGGAAAGGCTTTCACCTTGGTTTTATTCATACGAAAATCCCCGTCTCCAGGGAAAATCTTGAGGTTGAGGGAAAAGCTATTCCCTTTTTCCTTTCCCTCGGGGAAAAGCAAATGCCCAAATTTTTATTCATCTATATTGGGGCATTCTCCTCAATTTTTTCGGAAAAAGGATTTCCCTGGTTTTATTCATATCACCCAATGAGTTGATTAATGGAATGGCGTTGAGTTTTTTGGCACAGTTTCGACAAGTTCCCTATTTTTCTGAAGACTTCTTGAACTTGAGATCCCCTCCTTCAAAAAGTGTCAAAATCTGCAGTGTATATTTTTACAAAATTGGCAACTCCCTGCTCTAAAAATTTGTCATCCAGAATTTTAAAATACATTCCCAAAGCGGAGAAATGGTTAAAAATGTGGTGATTTTGACGTTATTTTTTGATGAGTCATCCATTCCTACATTAATTATTCTGTACCAAAAATTGCCAATGAATTCAAGACAAAACAATGCAATTATATTTTATGACAACATTTATTTGTTTTCAAACCATTGATTTCGCACATATAATTTCAAGCATGATATATTTACGAATTTTGCATCGTTTTTTTTACACTACGTAAAAACTATTACTATTTTTTTAAAGCCAAATCAGATAATAATATTATTTCTACTTTTTTGCACAAATATTTATTTCTAAATTTGCAAATTTTGATATATTTTTTTATTTTATGTACATACACGCTAATTTTTTAGCTAACTTCACATTCGTCTCATTTCCAAAAATTAGTATGCGTAATAAATTAATAAATACAAAAATCGGTACATGTATTATGTATTTAAACCCACTACATAAATTTCTATAAAATTTTTGAAAAAGTATAAAAAAAATTTCGACCTAAAATTAAATAAATATGTAAATTAATGAACACAACCTTCTAAAATTATATAACACCCCTTACCAAAATTAAGAGACCAGTCTGTAAAAATCAGTGCAAATTTGAGATGAAGTGCGAAATAGATAAATAATTTTGCAAATTATTGCAAATTATTATTTTTTTTCTCAACAACCGTCGTTTGGTAACATGATTCACCTCGGGACAGGAAACTACAAACAAATGGAAACTTTTAACTTTTTATGGAAAATTGTATCGCAATTGTGTAATCCTGACTAAAGAAGTTTTTTTAAATATAAATTATGAGTTTTTTTTTTAAATTACTAAGTTTATAGTACCCTGCGAAATGACTAGTTTTTACACACATAATATTTAACGGAGGACTCGAAAAACATAAAAATCAGCACATTTTTAATCAATTCTCCCTTCTGGGAATTTATTTTAAAATTCTGGTCAACAAATTTGTAGAGCAGGGAGTAATAAATTTTTAAAAATATACACCCCAGATTTTGACACTTTTTGAAGGAGGAGATCTCAAGGTTAAGAGCTTTCAGAAACATTGGAACTCATCAAAACTAGCTTCAAAAACTCACTCACTACAAATTCATCGCCCAGAATTTTAGAATAAGTTTCCAGAGGAGAGAAATGACTAAAAATGTGCTGATTTTCATGATTTTAGTGATGAGTCATTTACGTTAATTAATTACATACATCGATTATAAATAAATCACGTGGTAACAAAATTGCCACAATATATTACCCACCGGTGACCATATTTGTCTGCCATAAATTCAAATCTATTACCAAATTTTTGACAGGATGGTACAAATTTGATCAATCTGTCGGGAATATTTGAATTTCTCCCTCAATCATTGTTACCAATTTTGTTACCGCGTCATTATTCATGTACTTTTTACGACTGGACATTTTTTGCATTATTTACATATGTACACATGTGTTTGCAAAAATATTTTATGAAATATTTTGCATTTCCTTAACTAGTTACTAATTTTTGCATTGTTTCGCATCGTTGTGAGAATTACAGACTTTTTGACAAAGTTGTTTCTTCTCTTGGATTACGTACTTAACTGTATGGTTAATTTTATACGCTATTTAAATATCTACAGCTAATCTAATTTAATGAATATTTTAGCTTAATTAACAATTAATTAATTTGCGGTAATTAATTATTTACAGAATTAATGTGCACGTTAAATAATAAACAGAACAACCACTTAAAAATTAAAATCAGTGATAATTTCGATCTTCTCGAAATATTTCCATTTCGAAAATCATGTCTTATAAATGTTTACTTTTTCAATAATTCATTATACTTGCTGAGGTGAAATTTTTACATGGATTTCCAATTTTTTTTTGCAACGTACAGTTTTTTGCACACTTAATTTACATACATATGCATTTTCTTAACTACAAGAGCTAGATAAATATTTTTGGCCAGTTTACACACGAAAACAATGGGCAGTGTTTCATTTAATGGGTGAAATGTGTGCTCTTTTTAAACGTTTAATTTACATAAATAATAAAATTATGCCATCGTTTCTTGCCCATTTCTAATCTTGGTCATTACAATAAAATAGGTGTAACAAATCGAAATAATGCAAAAAATGGTACGATTTTTTCAATTAAAAAAACTCCTAGATTCATTTCCAAAATTAAAATTACGATTTTCTTGCCAAGATGCATACATAAAACCGAAAATTTTCTAATAAACCTTTTAATTATAAGAAATTGCTCGATTTCTCCCCATTTCTAATCCACCCGCTAACAAAGTAATCAATATCTTGGTCATACGGTAAAAATTAAAATAATATAAAAAATGAGAACAATTTTTTAAAATAAAAAAAAACTCCTGGATTCATTTACAAAATTAAAAATCCGATTTTCTTATCAAGATACTTAAAATTGAAAAAAAATTAAAAGAATTGACCAGATTTTCCACCCGGTGCGGAAACGGTTCCGCACCACCTTGACAAACTCATACCCGATTAAGCCATCAAAAAATTCAAAAATGGGTACAATTTTTTAAATTAAAAACAAATTTTTTAAAAATTCCTTAAACTAAAAAATCCAAATCGTTACATAAATTTGCAAAAAAAACATTGCAATAAATTCGCAATTTAATTAAAGGAATTGACCAGATTTTCCACCGGATGCGGAAACGGTTCCCCCACCTCGACAAATTCCGTCCCAATCAAGCCATCATTCGGTCGGAGGAGGTTAAACAAGACGGCAAACAGGGTGCACGTGGCATACAAACTTAGCGCCACCCACCACATGCACTGTTCGCGCAGGCGCTGTTCAAAGTTCTTCAAGACGACGAGCCCAATCGTCAACCCGGCCAGGGCGCCGGCCAAATGGGCGACGTACGAGACGGGTTGGCTGCTCTCAAAGTCGTCGATGGACGACGATCCGGCGTAGCGATCGTAAATGGCGAAACCCACGTCGACACTGGCGATCAGGAAGACGCCGAGGAGGCGCAAGATGCCAAACTCCATGTTGTTATAGTTCAGCAGGACGTTCGCGAGGTGGGCGGCGAGGAGGGCGTAAACCCCGCCGGATGCGCCGACCAGGTAAACGTCCGGGTCGAACACGGAAGTTGCCAGGGATCCGGCTAAAACACCGGACATGTAAATTGCTCCGATCCGAAAAGACCCGTGCACCATTTCGAGCGGGAGTCCGACCAAGAGTTGGACGAGGAGGTTGAACATTAAGTGGACCCAGCTGTGGGGGAGAAAAAATGAGATTATTATAGAGTGAAAGGTAAATATTAAGGTGGTATTGGATGAGGGTTTTTATTTTGGGATTTTTTTAAAATTTTTTAAATTTTGCAAATTTCATAAATTTGATAAATTTTTTTTATTAAGTGATCGGATTGACAAGGACTGATTTTTTAAGAGAATTCAGTGCCAACGTGGTAAATTTGTAAATCTTGCAAGGATTGCAATGTTGAATCAGGGTCGAAGATTCATAGCTAAAATCTTCAAAATTTCTGCAGGTTTAAAAATCATTTTTCCCCTATGGGAATTTATTTTTGAAATTCTGAACGACAAATTTCCGTAAGTTTCCGTAAGTGGATTTTTTTCCGACGAGTTCCAATTTTTCTGAAGGTTTCCTAAACTTGAGATCTCCTCCTTCAAAAAGTGGCAGAATCTGGAGTGTATATTTTCAAAAAATTGGGAACGACCTGCTCTACAAATTTGTCGTCCAGAATTTTAAAATAAATTCCCAGAAATGATCAAAAATGTTCTGATTTTGAATATTTTAGACATTTTACCCTACGTTTATTTTGGCATTTCTCAATTTTGCATTGTTTGTTATCTAATTTTGCAACATTGCAAAAATGTGGGATAGTTTAATTATTATTGCTTGTTTGCTCACCCTGCGTGGAGAACCATGTAGACCAAGAATCGCCAAACTTCCTCCCTCTTATCCGGCCTGTAGACGAACGGCGAGTCCATCGGGAGCGGACCGGAAGTGGAAGTCGACAGGTCTGCAGAATCTGAAGAGAGCGAGTAGTACGTGAAGAATCCAAGCTGCGAAAAAAATTAATTTAATTAATGTGTGTTAGTTTAAATTTAACGACGATTGTAATTTTAATATGAATCAAGTATTTAAACTAGTTAGCAAAGATGGTAGGTTTGCAGAATTCATTTATTTATTGCTGTGAACATTGTCGTAAATTCCGTAAACTTTGTAAATTTTTGTACCATTATTTTGAGCAATTAAATAATTTATGGCTTAACTTTGCCTACAAGATTTCCCAAATTTTTAAATTAATTTTTTTAAATTTACACAACTCAAAAGCCCCAATTTTAAGTAAATTGCGTCCAATTTGGGTAAAAGATCTTCTCGAAATTCGGATAAACTCTGACACTTTACCAATTTTATGAATATTTTTAAACTAGTAATTGTACAAAATTTGCACAATTTTCCCAAATTTTATGAAATTCAATTAATTTTTTTTTCATTTATGAAATTTATACATATTCACAAATTTGACGTGAATAACTTGAATATTACGTAAGAATGAAATGTCTTCATTAATTTCATGTGAAAATTATGGTTTCAGTAGAAATCTGTACAACTTTATGGTCTACTTTTCTCCACGTCACATCCGGACGTGGACGAGCCCAGCCAGACAGACAGACAGACAAAAATAATGATAACAATTCCAGGGAGAGGATCTCTTTAAAAATTAAAATGCAAATGTGACTTGAACCCCTCGTTAAGAAAAACAGACACGAAACGAAGAAACGAATAATTTCCCCAACTTCATTTTCCAGCCATTCAAAACTATTTACTACTTTACTACTTTGAATCCAGAAATGTGGAGAGTCTTCAACACGAAAATGTTTGTTAGGCTTACTCACGTCAAAATATTGAGAATCTTCCCGAAAACTGTATAAATTTGATAAAAGTTCACCTGGGCAAATCTCTGCATGGAAAATTTTGGAAACTTTTATACCTAAATTTAGAAAACTTTGGAAGCTCTTTGTCAATTAATAAATAGATAATTTAATAATTACATAATTTTAATTGTACACAATTTTATCAAATTTTTTCGCAAACGGATTTTACCAAGTTGCCAAGACCAAAACCCCCGTGAATTACTAAATTATCTAATTTACATAATTTTTTCGACGTGAACACCCCGAATGAAAAGTGGTACCACAAAAGCTGCTGCTGCCTAATGAAGAATTTTCTTTTAAAAGCCACCCTCCCGATGCAACGGAGCGTCGTCATTTGAGCATTCACGTCTCGACCGGAAGCTGTCTTCTCGTCTTAAACAAAACAATCTACTACTTCTTCTTGGAGTGAGTGAGTGAGAGGGGACAAAAAAAGTGACGCGTGTCCGGGCACACTTGGAACAAGCAGAGCGTTAAGTTTTATGTACGTCTTTAAACGCGAGACGATGAGGTTATCATGAAAATTCTCCTGACTTCCTTTCCTTTCAGGAATATCTTATTTCATTTCGTCGTCCCCGGCATTAAATGCGGGCCAACTGTTTCCCTTTACTATTTGTGGAGGAAGCCGAAGCCCTTTAAAGTTAGAAAAAAACAGGGGTGAAATTCACCCTAAGAAAGTGTGTAAAAATTTTTTGCATAGTATTTTGCGCATTTATTCCTTAATTATGTAAATGCGGGCCAACTGTTTTCCTATAAGAGGAAACCCTTTAAATATTAAAAGAAGGGTTGTACTTCGCCCTAAGAAATTGTGTAAAATTATTTTGCACAGTATTTTGCACATTTATTCCTTAATTAAATGCGGGCCAACTGTTTTCCTTTATTATTTGTAGAGGAAGCCGAGGTCCTTTAAAGTTTTTCACCCTAAGAAATTCACCCTAAGAAATTCACCCTAAGAAAGTGTGTAATATTATTTTGCGAGGTTTAATTAAGGAAATAATCTTTACAGAAACGCCAGAAAATTTAGGGTAGATTTACAGCTTTTTGAAAATTTTGGAAACCTTTGTAAATTTAAGGAGCTTAGACAATTAATAGGTTGCAAACATTGGAATATATTATCAATTCAGTTCACGTGAAGCTTCGTAAAGTAAGAGTAGCTTGAAGTTTACATAAACTTTGCATTTTTGTACCGTTTTTTTCTCAAAATTCTTGTAATTCTCAGCATTAAAATTTGATCCTCCAATTATAAACAATTCATATTTGTGACACGTAGAAATTTTGAATTGAAACAATTAATAACTTATGTCAGTTATATCATTATTGATCTTTTAATTTTAATTGAATTAATTAATTAATAACAATTAATGACTACATCAGAGCTACCTACGTAAGAACTAAAGGCATGTGAATAATCAATTTAAGTCATTAAAGACTCCAAAGTTTGACGAAATTAGTAAACTTATTTTTTGTTATATAATTTGAAATTTGGGAAAATTTGCAAAATTGCGTTTTTAATTTTGCCAATACCATTTTTTTAAGTATAAATTTTTCACTTCATTTTCATAATATATAAATTTTAACATTTACAATTACTTAAAAATTCCGTGTTCAAGAATCTGCAAGACTTTGCAATTAAATTGACTTGCTATTTCAAAAAGACTTTGCAATTAAATTGACTTGCTATTTCAAATATGTTGGTCGCCAAATCTTTACAATTTTAATTTGTCAAGTTAAATTTCAAAATTACTAAAAATTTCAAAATTATTATAAATTTCCATACATTTTCTAATTTTACGGTATAATTTCCCAAATTTAGACCCCTACTTTTATGTACAAAAAGGACCACACCTATCGAATTTACGATGCTGTTTATGTTCCACCCAAAAAAACTAATCTGTCCATGCCACAATTCTAAAACTCCATTTTGAGAAGAAAACCCCCATCTCGTCTCATCACGGGTCTCATTAATTCGTCCAGTTCCTTAATTATGACGAATCTCCTTCCCCGATCTCACCCCAAATACGGACAGGATTCGTATTCAGACAATCTTTGTAACCGTGTAAATTTTGTAAGGCAATTGAATCAGTTCTTTGTAATATTGTAGATAAAATTACCAAATTTAACTCATAGGTATTTCGAAGGATAATTAGCTCACAAATTTTTGTAAACTTGCTCAGATCAAGAGCGTTCCCTTATTTTGTAAAAGTTATTATTTTACAAAATTTAATTTAGACTGCGTGAATTTCCTCGTAATTGGTATTCTATTTACAAATTTTAATGACACCCTTGATATAATGTGGACCACTAACTCATGGCTTAAATAAATTTGTCTATAAGATTTCCCAGGTTTTTGTAAATTTATAAAGCTTTACTCAAAATTTAAAAACTTTCCGTAAAATTGACTCAATTTTACCACATTTGCTAAGTCGTACATACGTACTACTTGTTCCACACCCCCACATGTCTTAAATGAATGTATGCATATTTGTATATTACGAATGCATCCACCCTTTGTTCAGGTTTTCATGAATAAATGAAAGAAATGAGGTATTTTTTCTATCCATCCGCAGTAGCACGAGCAGGGAACAAGGTGTTGTCGTAGGGCAAGCCAAGTTTTGTTATCCAGTCCGAAAAACGCATCTGCTGCCTGCTCCAGTTGTTCCCTTTTTCCTCAACTTTTTATTCATCTCTCTCCACAGTATTTACAGCTACCTTACTTATTTACTAGGATAAGAATCCTACCTACCAAACCAGATCAACTACTTCATCTTGGACTTGGACGACGACGACGATTTCGACTCGTGTCTGTGGTCTGGTCTGGTCTGGTGTGGATTGAATTGGATGGGATTGGATGGCAGATGTCTGCCGAAATCCAGTCCAGAACCAGATGAGGAATAGAATGAAATGAAACCCAAAATATTTTTTTGGGGCACGAGACCAAACTATTAAGTAGGAAGGAAGAGGAGATGAAAAAATGGGAAAAATTAACGACCCAAGTCGAAAACAGCTTGCATCCGATTCTGAGAAGACGCTTTAACCCTTTTTTAGTTCTCTAAATTTTAGTTTGGAAGAAGAATAAACGTGTGCCAGGCAGATGTACCAATTTTTTGGCGAAATTTCCATTAATAACCTACCTAATTATTTTATAAACAAAATTTACGCAAATTATTTAAATCATTTCTGTCGTTTACGAATGACACTAAAATTACTCAAGTTTCGAGTCATCAGGCATTTTTCAGGTATTTTTAAGTCAATTTCATAAAAATCGCCCCCGAAATTTTTATACAGAATCCCGTTAATTTCTTTCTTTCTTTCTTTATCTGATGGAAGATGTAGTTGAAAATGAAATGTATTAAAAAACAGAGAATGAAAAATAGTTGTACTCGACTCGTGATAAAAAGGCAGGTGGCAAATGGTAGTAAAGTTTCTTTCCTTACTTTGTTGAAATCTTCTTTACCCCAGAATTACATACTACATGTGCACTCTAAGTAATTTGGGGACAAATTTGTCACCGAGTTTTGGTAACAATTTTGTACCAATAATAAATAATTGTCCACAAAATTCGAATCTGATCTGTATTTATTTCTTTTTCTTTACATGGTGACAAATTTGAATTTCACGGGAAAATATACAATACAAAAGTATTACCGACACGTGGCGGTGCTAATTGTGTTACCGTTCGGTAAAAATTTTGTGCAAGTAAGTAGATTATTCAGGAAATTCGAAACTCCTTTATAAATTTAAAATTGGGGGAAATATGTATTCACTACAAAATTATTACCAGGTACCCGGTGTTAATTTTATTACCGCATTATTCAGGGTGTAGATGGTTTAATAAATAAATGGTCGTGGCATCGGCGTCGTATCGCCTGGCGCGTGTCGGATCCGCAACAATGCTCATCATTGCCTCCTGCTCACCCACCTGCCCCGTAATTACCAATACTCCTGCATCACCACCAAAAACTTAAACGAGACCAGGCAAGAGAGGCGAAAATGGGAGGAAGTATCATTATCTGCTCGTCTGCCTTATATGAAATTCATTCATTTTTTAAAAATTCATCCCAGATTTTAATAAGTTTTTTTAGAAGTGAAAGAAAGATGATAAATATGATTTGAGACACAAATTTTGAAATGAATTAGTTGAAAATTTTGGTATAGTTTAGATTTAAGTTTTTTTTAAATTGAAGCAGTTCTTGGTAACTTTGTAAAATTCGTAAATTTTGCTCACCCACCTGCCCCGTAATTACCAATACTCCTGCTTCTTCACCAGCACCAAAAAAGTAAAACGAGACCAGGTACGTAATGTAATGTAAGAGAGGTGAAAATAGGAGGAAGGATCATTATCTTGTGCCATAGGAAATTCATTCATTAAAAAAAATTCATCCCAGATTTTAATAAGTTTTTCTCCTCATTCTTGGAAAGAAAAGATGATGATTTGAAATGGAATAGTTCGAAATTTTGGGATGGTTTCAATTTAACTTTCTTTAATTTCACGCAGTTCTTGGTAACTTTGCAAAATCCGTAAATTTGTTCATTATCTTCTCTTCTGCAGTATGAAATTCATTCATTTTTTCCTTTAAATTCATCCCAAGATTTTGAAATGAATTAGCTCCTCGAAATTTTGGGCTGGTTTAAACTTCTTTATTTCTTGGAATGAATGAAAGAAATCTTTCTTGGTTTGAGGTAAATTTTTTGAAATGCATTGGGTCAAAATTTCGGGATGGTTTAAATGTAAGTTTAGATCCAACCTATATAATTTTTTCGAAAATTTTCTAGATGAAAATTTTGTAATAAAGGTAAAATACAAAAATAAATACGTGGGTGTGATCTGATTATTTGTTAACTATAATTTTTAGAGGTTATTAAATTATAAACTTTTAGGTTTAATTGTGTAAATATAATTTATAATTTTGATTATTTAGTTTGTAAAATTAAAATATTTTTGACACGTTTTGTCAAACTTTAGCGTCAAGTTCTAAATTTTGTGTTCTAATTATTCAGTAATTTTGTAAGTAGATAATTAACAAAGAAGGACATGGTTCGAATCTTAAAATCTGGACATTTTTTTTTACAAATATTTCCAATTTTCAAAATTCCTACTTTATTTTTTAATACATAACTTTAATCCATAATTTTTGCAATAATTAACTGCATTTGAAACTTTAAGTTTTCTAAAATCTGCAATAAATGGGACATTATTTAAATTTGCAAATTCCTCATAATTTTTAAGATGCTCATAAAATTTGTGATTATTAAATATTTATGTTTTACAAATGTATATATGTAAATCCTTTTTTCGTAGGGAATTAAGTGTAATTAAAGTAAAAATTATTTGGCGGATTGAGACCAAGGGCGAATTAGTGAGGTGGATAACATATGTAATTTGTGAATTTAGCTTACCTCGATAAGTGTCACAAAGATGATAAAGAGTGGCGGTGGGAGGCAGCGATAATGATCCGCGTAATACTTCCGGTCTCGTTCTTCCGTCAGAAATTCGTCCGCTATGAGGCGAGCCATCCTGAAAAAAAATTCAAAATTTTGAAAATATGAAACTAATCGGTGTTTAAAAATTTGAAATTTTTTGTGATTTGAAATACTTTCGAGTATCAGAGTAAATTAAATTTATTGGTTAATTAAGTTTTTTTGGGATAAACTTGAAATAGATAAGTTAATAAATTTTGTAATGTTAATCTTAAGACTTAAAATTTGTTTAACTTTGACGTCTGTTTTATGAATTGGCAATTTTTATAAAAATAATTTGGCGAAGAAGGTTCTTTCGGTAAAGCTGGAAATTTGGAAAAAATAAATTACCAATAAAAACGGAAATAAAAATTTCTGCAGAAAATACGTTACATGATTTTGAATGTATGTATGTGTAAACGCATTTTATTTTTATTTTTCCAATTTGTTAAGCTTTATGAATTTTGAAAATTGTTGCTTTGTTTATTTGATTCAGGTTTGATGTACGTTCTCCAGGTCAGGTTGACAATTAAAAATTCCAAATTTCCAATTTCTAATAATAACAAAAATTCAAATTTCTTCATTGAATACGTTAAATTTTTCTACATTTTATTTGGATTTTGATTTTTCAAATTTGTTAAATTTTAGTGTCTTGTTCATGAAATTTAAAAATCCTTTATGCCTTTAATTTGATTCAGATACACTTGATCAGCAATGGCAAGTTGAAAATAAATAAAAATCCAAAAAATAAAAATAAAAATTTCTATAAAAAATACGTTACACTTTTTGTAAATTTTGTTTTTATTTAAAAAATTTATTTACGCGTGGTTTTCATAAATTTTTAAAAACTGTTTCTACACATTCTTTAATACGCAGACTCAACCGCCCCTAAGGATTTCCTAATTTCATAAGTTGAAAATTTCAAAAATTCCATAAAAACTAAAATTTAATTATAAAATTATTTCGTTACCCTTTTTCCACATCCTTCTCATCACAAGAAGTGTGACCATTTCGTGAAAACGAAATTTTTTCATGTAACAAAAGTCGTGGATTGAGCCGGATTTCCAATTTCCGGAATAAATTATCCTCCTCCTCGTCTCCCTCCTTCCGCCCGGACATTCTTGCCAGGAGATATTTCGATGTTTTTTTTTTCAAAATACAAAAATTCCACGTTTTCTTAACGTTACACTTTCACACATTTTTTCGACAAATTTTATTCAGTAGTTGAAAAAGTCACATTATATATATAAAAAATTGATCGATATCTTGTCCAGGTGAGGTTAATCAATAATCAATAAAGCAAAAATTAGTATTGATTCACAACCCTTCGAAACAAATCGATTTCAAAATTTTGAGCTGTTATTTTTTATTTATTTCAAAAACCCAAACTGAATTTTAATTAATTCCACAACTTAAACATCTATTAAATTTTTTAGCAAATTAAAGTTTCTTGATGGAAAATAACGACGTTAAACTTTTCAAAATTTTTATTATTACTTATTTTTAAAAAAGTTCACACTAAATATTCAATTTTGCAATTATTTTCCAATTCACAGATTTTGCATCTTCTTAACATTTTTAGTAATTAAATTTTTCTCCATGAAAAACAATTTTAATTGTTACTTCATTTCTAAAAATTCAAATTTTCAACTTTGTAACTTTTAAAAAATCCATAGTTACTACATCTACTAAATATTTTTAATAATTGAGTTTTTCTTCATGGAGCACAACGACGTTAAACTTTTACAAAATTTTAATTTTTACTAAATTTGTTTCCACTTTACAAATATTACTTTTACTCAACGTTTTTCACTCTATGAATTTTTCTTCATGACAAACACCAACTTGCACAAGTCGAGACACGATTTAACAATTTCCTTGTTAACCTTTTTTCAGAGCAGCAGACGTAAACCTTCCCGTCTCGCAGGCAGACCAAAACTAAACAAAAGTCGACCCAACCGTATTAACAAAACAGAGAGATGAGATGAGATGACGACTAATGGTGCCAGCCTGCCAGCCAGCCAGCCGGCCCAGCATTTCCTCGTATCTTAAATTATGGATGACCAGCCACACGTTTCTTTCAGAAGGAAAATCCATCCCAAAAATCCATCTCAACCCTTTTTTTCTTCAGGAAAAATTGTTCTGTTACTAGAAGAACGTTGACATTTATGTAGTAGAACCGATCGCATATTTTAATGTCATTCTTTGGTCATTCTTTCTTGTCGTTTGTGTGACACATTACGTTGTTTGTGTGTCTGTATCGTTTTGGCAAAAAATGGTACGTTTTACTACCTTAATGGGATAGTTTTTGCAATTTGTTGGCAATTTTTTTGCAATTTTTTTTGTTGGTAAATAGTTAGTCGGAAATGCTAAGGATGAAATTCACACCTTGTTATTATTGCCTTGTTTATGCAGCTTATTGTGGTCAGTTCGCTAAACTGGTGTTGTTAATGGTGGAAATTGATCTTGTATTTTAGAGAACCTGTGACACGTTTCTTTCAACGGAAGGAAAATCCATTCCAAAAATCTAAACCCTTTTTTTCTCTTAAAGGAAAAATTATTCTGTTACAAACGAGTAAAAGAACGTTGACATTTATGTAGAGCCGATCGTTTTATTTAATGCTTGTGGTCGGTCATTCTTGCTTTTCGTATGTATAGCACATTGCATTGTGTGTATTTATCATTTTAGCAAAAAATGGTACGGTTTCTGGTACTTTATAAGTCGTTTTTGCGATTTGTTTGTAATTTTTTTTGGTTGGTTAATGATTACTCGGACATGAAATTCACACCTTGTTATTACCTTGTTTATGCAGCTTCATGGTGAAGACTGATATATTTCTTATTGCGGTGCATCGAAGTCAACCGGATGGATTTGATTTGAATTTCGGCCCGCCTCCAATGTTAATCAAATGGGCACGTGATTTTGGCGCGTAGAAATTCTGTCCGGTTGACTTCGATCCACCGCAATAGTACAAAATTTTTTGACAAGTATAAAATTGTGTTTTGTATCTTTTTTATATCGCGTTTTGTTTCAAACGTATGTATCTAAATTTTGTAATTTTTTGAAGAATTTGGGAAATTTTTGAAGAAGATATATTGACAATTCGATAATATTTTTCAGAAATTGAAATATAAAATATTTCAAATAACAAAAAACAAAATAATTGCAAATTTGCACTTTTACGTTTTTGCGAAAATATTCAATTATATATTTTGTATCAATAAATATTTCCACGCTTTTTCATAAATAACTTAATATCAGCTTATTTTGGCAAAAAATAACTGAAAATTCCCACTTTTATGTTTTTGCGAAAATATTTCATTATATATTTTCCATCAATAAATATTTCCACGCTTTTTCATAAATAACTATCCGCTGGGATAATAATAATAAACGTGACTAAGGCAGAGACAGGGAGTGGAAGTGGACGTTGTTTATTCTTCATGATGTAAATGAGAATCTGCTGTGCGATGATGAATGAATGAATGAATGAACTTCATCTCACTTGCTCACTGTTGACCACGACACGTTGAATAACGACATTGTTGTAAATAGCGATACGTTGCACCTTAAGAAGTGTGTCCCGTGTAACGTTGCAAAGTAAAAGTGTAACGAACTTTTAAATCACGTGGGGTAAAGATTGGGTACATGAAAAACATATATTTTACACTAAAAACTTTGTAACTTGGTAAATTTCTTAAGAAACGACATAATTTGAATAAAAATTTTGATTTATTCTTGTAAAATTTATAACTGGGTATAAATTTTATAAGAAATGGTGACAATTTAACCAATTTTTGTTGTACGATTTTCATTATTCGACGACATAGAAAGATGAAAACGTTTCTGTGAAGTTATGATGACGCAATATTTTTGATTTTATTGGCAGGAAATGAGTTACTTAAGTCAACTTACGTGTCGTTTAGGAGGGGAACTTCAGAACATGCCACTCTCAGAATTCGATGCCCTTCGGATATGTTGTAGTACCCCATGAGTGTACCAAAACCCTGAAACGGTTTGATGCCATGGCCACATTTGCGTCCGCCACACCCACTCAAAGGGGCCAAAAACACGAAAAATACCCTGTTTTGGTTCAATAGAAAATTCACCAAAAATCCAATTTTGATCCGATTTCCACAATTTAAGCATTTTTGTGATCCTAGATAGTTGCTTGATCATATCCAATATCAAAATCAACTTTTTTGAAATTTTGATTTTTTCGAAGACACACCCCTGGACAAGAAGTTTTCAAAAATATTCAAAAAATTTAAAAAATTCATTTTGGTGTCGGATATCATAAAGCAACTATCTGGGATCACGAAAATGCTTAAATTGCGGAAATCCGATCAAAATTTGATTTTTGGTGAATTTTTGAAGGTGATGATTTTCGTGTTTTTGGCCCCTTTGAGTGGGTGTGGCGGACGCAAATGTGGCCATGGCATCAAACCGTTTCAGGGTTTTGGTACACTCATGGGGTACTACAACATATCCTAAGGGCATCGGATTCTGTGAGTGGCATGTTGTGAAGTGTTCCTCCTTAGTTATGTGTCGGCTAATCAAAGTGACAATACTTATATTATTATTATTATATTATTTGTACGTTTACTCACTCACTGCAGCTTTGACTAAACTAGAAAAAAAATTCTGATTATCACGGAACAACTAACCAACCAACCAGTGTTTCACGTGCGTGTAACCACGTGCAAGAAATAACGGGAAAAAAGTGGTTTCTTGCAGCTATCTTCACCTGCAAGAAATGCACGGCGCAAGAAACTACGCCCCAGTCGCTATAAATACTTCATACGGCGCATATTTCGTGCACTTTCTCCCAGTTTCTTGCATTGTTCGATTTGCGGTGCAAGAAATGGGGCAAACCCTCAACGAACGAAACATTGCTTGCAAGAAACAACTGCAAGAAAGTGGTTTTTTGCAGGTATTTTTATCTGCAAGAAATGCACAGTACAAGAAACTACGCTATAAATACTCCCATATGGCACGTGGCTAGATGGAGCGTATTTCTTGCACTTTCTCCCAGTTTCGTGCACCTCGGATTTCTTGTACCTTCCCTTTCGTGCAGTTTGTTGCTTTGCACTGCAAGAAATGTGGCAAACCCGGAAGAAACGAAGCACTAAAAGGGATCCAATTATTTACTTCGAAATCAGTTTTCAGAAAGTTTTAATTTGATCTTAACATATAAAGAAAATTTGCTTTTATACATTTCTAGCAAAATAAACTTGTCGAAAGTTTTCTATAATTGCGTGATTTCTATAACTTCTGGATTATATTTATTATTGCGACATTTTTGTGACAATTGTGACAAGTTTTTGGAAATTTGCGACATTTATACGCCGAGTATTTATTATTTTGTATACCGAGAATTAAGATTTACTGCAGGTAGTTAGATACTCAGCGAGTGAATACAGAATTTCAGCTTTATTTCTACTTTATTAACATTTTGTCGTTACTTACTTGAAATTGCTGCATTTATTTCGAGTTTAAAATTGCAGATTTTTTAAAAATTTTCAAAATTCGTATAATCAAAAAAATTAATAGTTTTTTTTAAATCGTAGACCATTCAAAATAGAAATTTCACAATTAGTTATTCTATCAAACAAAAAACACAGCTAACAAGCAAATCATTACAAAAATGTATAAACAAATGATGAAATTGCTAATTAGATTATGTGAAAATTGTATTTGTCCATAATTTTCAAAATTTTGCAAAAAAATATAAAATTCTAAATTTATTCCAGCTTTCCTCAAGCACATTTTAAACAAGAAATTATGCACATACCCCCGAAAATTACTAAATTATGAGAATGATTCATATTTCACGATCACAATCATCATGATCACGGCAATAAAGGGAGAATCACACCTTAATTATTCGCTCGTAATGCAACGCGTGAATCCATTTTGCATGATCATGACTCTGATAAAAAAGAGAGTCGAGACTAAGGAGGTTCAAGATTTAGCATAAATTGTATCCCAGCCAAGTTCATGAGATACAAAGGAACGTAGCGTCTGTCTCAATTTATGCCAAGTTTACAAGTTTGCAATTTTTTGTGCCATCAAATCGCCAATCTTCTCCTGAGTCACTCTGGTCTGCCACACAATGAATGTGAACGTAGACGTCGACCACGACCACCCATAAACTTGGAACTGATCTTGGCTGTTTAGTAGAGTTGTACGATGGCCAGAAATTTACATTTTTGGCATGGCATAAATTCCCTAGGATTTTTATTTCGGGCAAATTTGGCATTACATAAATGCCCAAGGAATTGGAAAAAGTAAAAACTCTGCTAGAGTTGTACAATTGGCAGAGAAAGAAACTTAAATTTATGGCATGGCATAAATTCTGTAGGAATTTATTATAAGATTTGCCTTATGGGGAGGGGATAAATTGGTATACGGGGCAAATTGAGAAGGTCATGTTATAAATGCCCAGCGTTGTACAATTCGTAGGGCAAGAAATTAAAATTTTATCCACGGAATAAATTCTATCAGAATTTATTGTATTATAAATTAAATTAAATAAATTTTAAAATCGGGCAAATTTGGCATGCCATGGGTATGGAAATAAGTACAACTCTGGCAAAGTTACACAACGGGCAGGGCATCAAATTTAAATTTTTGGCATGGCATAAATTTCTGCTAAATTTATTTCTCTTATAAATTTTAATACTAGCCAAATTTGGCATGCCTTAAATGCCCTGGGCATAACAGCCACACGTACAACTCTATCCTCTTACTCATCCTTATTCCATTCGTCTCAACGTATAAATATCTAGCCGGACGAAATTGTGTCTGCAATGCAACACGATACGGATAAATCGATCAGCTACGGGATGATCTAATTCTAATCGATATTCAATCAATGCAATACCGGAGCCGGATCTGGGAGGATTTAGAAGACAGGATTTGACTGTCTTGTTAAGATTGCAT